CGCAGGGCGGGGAAGGACCCGCCAGCGCTTGGAATCCTTCTCCCCAGCCGCCCCGGCACGGGGAGAGTCTGATCCACCCCATCTCCTGTGCATCCCCCACCGTCAGTGCGCCTCCAAAGCGGCCCCTGCTCTGCACCCCGGGGCCGGACATGCTGCCCCAGCGCCCTGGCTCGGCTCCCACCCCTCGCTGCTGGCAGCCGCTTATGTAACCGGATCACTGCAGCAATCCCCAGGCACTCGCGCGGAGCCCCAGCGCCGGGGGAGCCTCGCTCCTCTCTTACCGCCAACGCATCCCGCTAGGAAATCCAGCGCCATCCTGCTCTCCGCGGCCCCTTGCTGCAGGCCCGGTGCGTGCTGCTGCTGCTCCCCCCTCGCTGCACGGGGGCACCACCGCTGCTGCTCCGGCGGCTTCCTCGGGATTGCAGGGGCTGGATGCGGGGGTCGGCGGCTCGGGATCGGTCGAGATCAAGGACTCACGAGGCCTCCCCCGGGTAGCGATGTCAGCAGCGCCCGGCACACGTTCCAGCCCTGCGCAGCGCAACCTGCTCCGCTCTCGCCCTTTCTATTTCTGATGCCGCTAGTGCGAGGCGGGGGGGAGACAGAGCCTTATGGGGAAGGAGAAGCCTCCAATCAGCGGCAGCGGGCGAGACAACACCCCTCCGGCTGAGCCCTCTGCCTGGCTGCCGATTGGCGGCTCCTCGGGGGCGGCTGAAGCGCTTGGGGAGGAGGGTGGAAGTCGTGGAGACAAAGAAGCTGAGAGGCTGGGGGGTGCCTTGTGCTCTCTCCTCTCTGGGCTGGGGCCCGGCGTTCCGCCCTGGGGCAGAGCCTATCGCGGCCCTGCAAGATGCCAGCCGGGAACCGGCCCCGTCAGATGCAGGCCGGGCTGACAAAAGGCTTTTTCAGGCTGGTAGTTCTTATGATAATGCAGCAACTGCTCCACCTTCCCCCCGCCTGCTCTTGAGTCGGCTGAAGCAGCGGTTCTCAAGCCTTACGCAGTTTGCTGATGGCCACTCCGAATTGAGCGGAGAGTCAGACGGAGGCGGGTATTAGACAACCTACGGGCTGGTACTGGTTCACACTTTTTAAAAATCTCTTGTATTGGTTTAGGAACTGATACAGCTAAAGCAGTACGGCCCCCTAGTGGGGATGCTGTTATACTAGTATCACATTCACCATGTCTGCACTAGACATGGGCTGTACCAGTTTAACTGGATTTGTATAAAATCACACCCCTAACGAAAAAATGGTGTAGACCAGGCCTAATGCAGAATCATTGATTCTCTGGAACCGTTAATAGATTATTTTCATGTCTGAGACCATGAAAGATGTGATTTGTGTGTCTTTATAAAACACTATGCAGCCCTTGTCTAAGGTATATATCAGTATTAGCAATATGCTGTTGTGAATTGCCTCTGTGGCGCTCCTTTCACTTTTTTATAAAATTTTTCCTATTCAGATTCCTAGGGTTCCAGTCAATATAGATTTTCTAGGTCGAGAAGGAGGATTTCTCTCGAGTTCTGCACAGTGATGTTTGCACAAGACTGAATCCTGTTAAGATGGCACAGCTTTTGTTTAAATCTGCTAACAGTATTCAGTTACCCTCTTCCTCAAAATGTGGACTCTTATCTTGCAAGTGGGGCCAGAGCAGAGCCTCGATGAAGTCAATGGGGGGGGGGGAGGGTCTGTTCATGCGGTGGTGCAGCTTTAGACAAAATGTGATTTTTTTTTTTTTAAATTGATGCCTGGCTATCTTAAAAAGAACAGGAGTACTTGTGGCACCATAGAGACTAACAAATTTATTTGAGCTTAAGCTTTCGTGGATGCATAGAATGGAACATATATTGAAGAGATATAGATATACACATACAGAGAGCATGAAAAGGTGGGAGTTGTCTTACCAACTCTGAGAGGCCAATTAAGTAAGAGAAAAAAGCCCAGTACAGACAGTTTGATAAGAAGTGTGAGAATACTTACATGGGGAGATAGATTCAATGTTTGTAATGGCTCAGCCATTCCCAGTCTCTATTCAAGCCTAAGTTAATTGTATCTAGTTTGCATATCAATTCAAGCTCAGCAATTTCTCGTTGGAGTCCGTTTTTGAAGCTTTTCTCTTGCAAAATTGCCACCCGCAGGTCTGTCATTGAATGGCCAGACAGGTTGAAGTGTTCTCCTACTGGTTTTTGAATGTTATGATTCCTGATGTCAGATTTGTGTCCATTAATTCTTTTACGTAGAGACTGTCCGGTTTGGCCAATGTACATGGCAGAGGGGCATTGCTGGCACATGATGGCATATATCACATTGGTAGATGTGCAGGTGAACGAGCCCCTGATGGTATGGCTGATGTGATTAGGTCCTATGATGATGTCACTTGACTAGATATGTGGACAGAGTTGGCATCGAGCTTTGTTGCAAGGATAGGTTCCTGGGTCAGGTTTCCTGCCTATATTGTTCATCCCAGTCTTCCCTTCCCTTGTTTTTATAGCTATTTAACAAGGCAATTACAGGTAAGGACACTATTGAGACCTGGTTCAATTCTATCCTCTGTCTTAGGGTACATCTACACTACAGTGGGGAGTCGATTTAAGATACGCAAATTCAGCTACGTGAATAGCGTAGCTGAATTCGACGTATTGAAGCCGACTTACCCCGTTGTGAGGACGGCGGCAAAATCGACTTCTGCCGCTTTTTGTCGGTGGCGCTTACTACCACCTCCGCTGGTGGAGTTAGAGCGCGGTCGATTTCTACTCGCCGATTCAGGCGGGTAGTATAGACCAGACCTTAGAGTTCCTGTGTGGCCCTTGTCAAGTCACTTAGGCACTTCTGGAAATTTTACATAAAAGTGACTTAGGTTAAAATGTGCTGTATGGAGGGGTGATTTCTAAAGCACACTAATATGTTGCACATCAGTTGGTCCTTGTCGATTCTGCTGGTGCTCACTAAAAGTTCCTTAGTGTGTTTCTTTAATGTAGTACTGTTTTAAACTGCACTATGTTCAAGTGCACCGGAGAAGTCTATGCCAACCAATCATAGTATGTTTTAGAAATCACACCCATTTAGAGCTCATTACAAGCCCTTAGTCATGTTTGAAAATGAGATTTAGGGTCCTGAAAATGTTACCCTTTTTCTATATCCTATCTGTTTCCCTATCTTACTGGGGTTTTGTGTGGATAAACATTAACAAGGTGTACAGATACCATGGAAAGTGGGGAATTTAAGTACTAAGACAGATAGAAGATGGTGCTATTGTGTACACTACAGCTATCTGGTAGTGAAAACAACAAGGAGTCTGGTGGCACCTTAAAGACTAACAGCTTTATTTGGGCATAAGCTTTCGTGAGTAAAAACCTCACTTCTTCGGATGCAGTGATCACTGAAAAGGAAAGTGTTTTCTATACTATTGTTGTCTACAGGAATTAGCAACGCACTAGAGTGTAAATAACCTCAATTCCTAGTATAACTGTAGGAATTTCTCAGTTTCAACTGGACCTGTAGACTGCTGTTGATAACAAACATACAGCTGTTTACATGTAATACTTGTTATATATAATCTTTCTTTCATTTAACAGAAGAACCATTTGCCCATGAAACCTGCTCTATTGATGTATTATTCCCTGTGCTCTGAAGCTCTAGAGGTAAGGTGCTCTCTGTTCCCATTTGTTTGTGGACGGGGGAAGAATGGCCACATCGCTGTTTCATCCGTATAAAGCTATAATTCCAGGTGGACAGAAACTCCAAAGGGGAAGTTGCTCTCTGCCATCTGTTGATGAACAGGAGGGAAAGTATGGCTACAGAAAGCTTCCTCTGAATAAGAATTCTTTCAGTGACACTTGAGGAGTCACCATAAAGATACACCGCTCAGAACTGGTTGGGTAGTGGAATTGAACTGAAATAAGGGGAAGGGCTCCTATCTTGTGTAATAGAAGGAAGGGAGCCTGGAGCACTGGGTCTGGTGCAAGGTCTGATGCCTGAACCAAAGTCAGCAAGAACCAGGCTATGAACCAAAATCAGACCCTGTCATAAAGCAGATGCTTGCTTACAAGTTCACTGTCCGGTACATGAACTTGGCAAAAACACAGCTAGCATTGCAAAAACACAGGCGCTCCTAAGATGTACTAGGTACTGGATATTAATATAAACAGGTTCCAGAAGGCTAACATAGGGGTGACACTCTGTACCTCAAAATAGCACCCTGGAACCCCCACATTCACCACTGTGATATGATCATGGTATGTTTTGTACAAAATATGCCTTGTGAGGTATAATTTGAGAAGTCATGAGTAAGGCTGCGATTTAGTCATGGAGGTCACAGCAGTCACGGATTCCGTGACTTTACCAGACCTCCGTGACTTCTAGGGCTTCAGGAAGCGGAGGCGGGACTGTGTGCCGCTGCACTGCAACTGGAGCTGGAACCAGGAGGACCCTGCAGCCCCTACCCAGCGACTTCTGCTGGGGCCATGCACCCCAGCCGCGTGGCGTCCCGGGCTTGGGAGGTGCGGGGCTGCAGCAAGGGCCGTGTGCCCTAGCCCCGCGGTCCTGGGGTTGGCGGGGCTGCAGCCGGGGCCACCTTCCGCCAGGGGCTGCAGCTGGGCCGTGCAACCCAGCCCTGCGGCGCAGCTGCCAGCCCCACCGCAGCAGGAAGCGGTAGAAGCCTGGCTGGATGATCACTGGGACTTTCCCTGGTGTTGCCTTTACAAGCACCTTCCCCTCCACCGCTTCCCTCCCAACAGCTGGCATGACTGCTGGCCCATGGCATCCCAGGCTTGATCTGGAGCAGGGCTGTACACCCCAGGGGGGCCTCTGCCACTGGAGCCAGGGCTGCACCCCCCTGCCATGGTGGGGGGCTCGGTCTGTCAGTCCCTCCCCATGGGACTCCATTCTTCCCCCTTACCTAGCCCTGCCTCCCCCTCTCCCCCTCCCCCCCCCCGGTTACTTTTAGTAAAGTTACGGACAGGTCATGGGCTCCGTGAATGTTTGTTTATTTCCTGTGACCTATCCATGACTGTTACTAAAAATAACTGTGACAAAATCTTAGCCTTAGTCATGATCTGTTGAACATTACTATCCTGTTGAATTATATGTGTTACTATTGTATCTGAAATTATGAAGCTTTGCTATGTGTGTGTTACTGAAATATGTTGAGTCTGGGAGCCGCCCATAGCTGGCCTTTCGATGGCAACAAAGCCAACACCCTCAAGATAGATTTACAACAGAACTAGCTGGCCATCTGTTGATGGCCCATTAAGGAGAATCCATTCTCCCATTGGGACCTTCCCAAGGCACCTAGACAATGGGGATTGCTTAACCCAGTGACTCAGCAGGGGACACAGAACATGTGATCCCTGACTTGTTTGAAACAATATCTTTCCATGCACATGGATTGGGATGTATAAACTGGAGTCTGTGACATCAGCTCCTGGCCTCTCTCCTCCCCCACCTACTCTGAAGGCAACAAGAATGTTTGGAAGAAAAGACTTTGAACTGAGAAGATTCCTAGCTGAGCAAAGAATTCAGCCTTTGCCACCTGCAACATCCAGTGGGGTGAGAAAAGATGTTTAATTCAAATCTTGCTTAGTCTGATAAAGTTTAGAATTTAGATTGTGATTTCATTTTTATTTCTCATGCAACCAACTTTGACCTCTATGCCTAACAATTATAATCACTTAAAATCTATCTTTCTTTAGTTAATAAACTTATTTTAATGTCAGGTTTCAGAGTAGCAGCCGTGTTAGTCTGTATCAGCAAAAGAACAGGAGTACTTGTGGCACCTTAGAGACTAACAAATTTATTAGAGCATAAGCTTTCGTGGACTACAACCCACTTCTTCGGATGCATCCGAAGAAGGGCTGTAGTCCACGAAAGCTTACGCT